CTCTGGGATGTCCTTGTATAAAATTAGGGACGTTCCTGGGAAGTCCCTAGGATGTACTTGTGTTGTTAGGACGACAAACGGCGACGGCTTGGCAGCCATATCGCCGACAATCGCACCGAGTCGGCCGCCCCACAAAAGTCAAAGGAAAATATTTGCACTCCAAGTTTCGGCAATACATCGGAAACTAACCACACTAAAAATTCATCGTGAGACGATGATATCTGATTGGTATAGATATCATTGATCTCTCTAAATCTTCTCCAGAGGAGTATCGATACAGAAAAGCAGAGACACTTCGCCAAGAATGATCTTTAAATTAAAGACGGAAGCAGATTCGCACGCAAACATTTGAAGCTCTCACTATTATAATATCTTTTTCTACTCACATAACTAAAATGGCATTTAGAGTACGGATATGTTAGGTCGGATCAATGTTCGGACGCAATGTTCCGCGTTTTTCATGTGATAAATATTAGTATAATTTCAATAATGAAAATTTCGAAAATTGTACATAGCTCTGTCAAGAAAATGATTTCCGACAGTGAATTATATAGTTTGATTTTGTAAATCGACATAATGAAATATGAAATTCCACTCAAACAGACCCATTTAGATTCAGTTCTAGGGTAAAATACACTAAGGTGACAACACTGGTCCGGGTTCGTGAATTTCAATCAAATTTATGAGCAGCTTATTATATTGATATCCGCTGACCAGTTTATTCCACAATCGCCAAAAATGGAAGCATGTTGAGACATAAAATTGTGATTCACTCCAATTCGATTTCTATAAACTTTTTTCATGATGTCACGTCCGTGATGCGCTCGTTAGAAGCACATCCAGTACAACTATTACTAACAAATTCGAATTTACCGCCATTCGTGAATTAAAAAATGAGTGATAAATGTTTGCTATTGCCTCCGACAACCTTGAACGTGCAAAGGCATTCTTGAACAAATAAGAAACTTTTCACATTTTGAGCTCCATCTAATGGTACATCATCCAGTTCGCGCAAAACGTACTAGATTAGATGCTTTTAGAGCCGACTGCTGCGACGGTACCTCCATCTAGCAGAGAGTACCTGAACTACGATATTCAAGTTTTCTACCATCTAATTTAGAGAAGATATTATCCATACAAGATATATAGGCCTATTGTTTACATAAATTGAATATAAAAAAGGCTTTCATCTAAATGGTTACATTTCAAGAGCTGAAATTCTAGTGTGGGTTGCCCAAAATAATAACGCAGGGTATGAGTGAATATAACGTTATTCTGAGACACAAAATTTTACAATGTTTACATCTTTTTGATCTTCTGCAGCTTTCTTAATCGAACGAAATTTGCCTTCAAAACTATCCAAACCCGAGTCGGAACTTTCGTCTTTATGATGATTCAATCTATTTGGCAATCGGACTTTTAATAACGCCGAAAGTCATTTCATAGTAGAGGTCTGCATTCCAGCCATTGTGAAATGACCTTGGTTACGCCCCTCTTAATGCATGTAGAATATTCTCACCACATGGATTATTTGTCGATATTTGTTGCATTGTATACATATGGCACGGCATTGGTGGTTACTTCACATGTTCATTTGAGTTAATTGTTTCGGTTGCAGAAAAAATAGCATGTTTCATTCGGATCAGAAGTCACTTTGTTCGACTCGCAAATTTTGCTTTCGCTCGGCTTCGCTAAACGCTCCGCCTCGCAAATGCAAAATTCGCTTGTCAAACAAAGTGTAACTTTTGATCCTAATGAATCAATCTACTATTATTGACAGACACAATTTTCAAGGTGAATATTCTACCTTCTCGATTAACCTATACCAGACAGTTTCTTTCTTGACAGACTATATGTAAACTGGTGTCCATTTACATTTACTCCCAAACTTTAATTGCATGGATGGTTTCATAGCGATAGCGATCATTAAATGTTTAGTCAACATCAACAATTTGGAGAAAGTTGAAATGAACCGTAATAGCTGTTAATGAACTTGCTATCGAATGTCCTGATTCAGTGTATATTCTCCAATCATAATAAAGCGATTCAATCAGTAATAAACATGTTGGTAAATCATTGATAAAAATGTTATGCTAGCTTAGAGATGATACTGAAAGTTGATTGGCTGGCTTCAATATATGTATATGTATGTTTTCTTGATAAATTATCTTCAACCGGTAATACGCTATCATATAGGCAGAATCAGAATCGACATGACTTCATCATGATAGGTATCGATTATTTCCTGTGGTTATTTCCAATAACTAAATAAGGAAAAAGATATCGATGAATGCAAAATACAACGTTTTAAAATTTCTCAAAATTTTTAATATCCATCTGGTATCACTAAAGAATGTTAAAGGGATGTCCTCGATATCCTATCGTTCATTATTCGGTATTTCATAAAAAAAAATTAAAATGCCGAAGAATTATTACTTGTAACACAACTATTCTCTGCGAAGTGACTCAGAGAATTACTGTTATTGTTACATCGATTTCCAAAATCATTCATTGATGTAGTAAATTTGGAAGTTTACTATTGTTGATAAGTGTTATCCGGCTAAAACATTCTGAAGATTGTGGCACTTCCGGTTGTACCGGAAGTGGACCCCAATTTCGTTATTTTCAATCGGACACCCTGTATATTATCAAGGTTTAAGATTTTACGCATGATTCTGAACATATTTCATGTATAATGTCCTATACCCAAGTCAAACTGTTTTCGAAATATTTAAAATTTTAAGTTGAAAATTGCGTTTGAAGACCGAAAAATATTTTTTTTAATTTCTGGACATGATCATTTATTTTCGGTTGTGTATCGATTTAGTCGTAGGAGAGTACCCAGTTCAATAGAATTTCGATATCAATTCGATTAAGTGAAATCAAGAATACGAGATTTTCTGGAACTGAGACATGTTAATTCGCCAATATTTCGAAAACTGTTGAGTGTAGGCATAGATAATTAAATAACCTTATTCAAAGTTAGCTTCATTTTCGATGCCGTATCGAATGAGAATATAAAATTGGGGGGTTAACTTACAATATTTTTTTCAACCGGATCTATATCATTTTCTGGTGAATGCCCTGTATAAGTGTAATGGAATTGATATCGAAATTTTACTGGACTGGGTACTCTCCCACGGAGAAATCGATACACAATCGAAAGTTAATGATCATGTCCAGAAATAAAAAAAAATAATTTTCGGTCTGCAAACGCAATTTTCAACTAATAATTTGAAATATTTCGAAAACGGTTAGACTTGGGTATAGGACATTATACATGAAACATGTTCAAAATCATGCGTAAAATCTGAAACTTTGATAATATACAGGGTGTCCGATTTAAAATAACGAAGTTGTGCCACTTTCGCTACAACCGGAAGTGGCACAATCTTCAAAATATTTTAGCCGGATTGCAACTGTCAGCAATAGTAAACTACCAAATTTTCAAATTCGGCCCACCTATTCTATATATTGATCGATGCAGTTCCCGGAGGGACATCCTGTATAGGTTTTATCCCGATTACCAATGGTACAAGTTTACAGCTGACATGAAAACTAATAGAGTAGGTTGTAGCACGTTGTTGGTTCAATCAGTAGCGAAAAAATTGGACCCATTCCTCAATTATACACGTTCATATCGAGGTTTGCAAAATCCAACTAATTCTGGTATATTTGTCAGTTATAATTGCACGAGTGCATGAAAATTATCGATAATTTTGCAAGAATACTTGTTATCTGAAAATTGCTAGAGTTTATTTCCATATTTTGGCGGAAGAGCTCGAGTCCGAAGGAGAAGGAGGAATTTATAAACATTCCGAACACTTTTTGACATTGACTCTTCAACAACCTGTACCACTGATTAACCTTGTGTGTCCTACAAGGCAACCCTGTCCGAAATGGTCCTATTTATATTGTAAGTACTCATTATTGAAGATTTTTTCAGATTACCATAGAAAATAAAAGTATGAGTATTATTTCAATATACGTGTAGTGAGAACGAACCAGATGGTTTGCCCCAAAATGACACTGCGTTTAAAAATTCCCCTATCAGAAAGCCTAGAAGAAAAATATTTCACTTGTCAGTGACACTATGTTCTGAAAAAGGTTTGGAGAGAAAATATCAAATTTCCACTTATTTCTGGGAAATTGGAACATTTTTAAAGGCAGTGACATTTTGGAGCAAATCATCTGTTTTCTCCTCACCACACGTATTTTGAAATAATACTCATATTTCTATTCTTTAGAGAAACGAGGAGAGAAAATCCCAAAAAATTTGAAGAATATACCACCTCCTCGATTAACCTACAGACAGTATTGTGTGAACTATTCAACATTTTTCATTGTATACCGTAATCAACCTGACGATTCCTCGTTTATATGTTGATGATTTAATAAATGAATTTATTTTTTTGAATATGGGTTTTACTATTTCTCATACCCCTTAAACTATTAGTGTGTAGTAATGTGTAGTATGAGTTAATGTGATCTATCCTATCTGAGCTACCCTCAAATATGATCCAGTGGTCTTATTCCATCCCACAGAACACACATGTATACAGTGCGCATCATAAGAGTCAACCCCTCCTATCTAACTCGTCACGGGACTCTTGTAAGGAAAATCGCCGAGACCTGTCGATATTTGATTTTTTACAGTGTAATCTCATCCTTTACTAATGGGGAGCAACCCTGTCAAAAAATTTAATTAGCATGGGGTGGTGAGTGATAGCTCATTTGAAATCTCAATTTCTTTGCACGGTTGAATGGAGAATAAAATCCCTTTCAAATGAGCTATCTCTCACCACCCCATGCCATCTAAATTTTTTGACAGGGTTGCTCCCCTCCAGTGAGGGATGAAGTTAGGACTGAACTATTTCTATGAAAATGTACACTGTAGAAGAGTCCAGTGACGAGTTAGATAGGGGGAGTAACACTCATGATGCGCACTGTATATACCTCCTCCTACTCTTACGGGGCAAAACAGGGTCTTATCAACTCACCCTTGTTCGCAAGCACACACTTCAGGTCCCACGCATTTTCCCCCTAAACCACACCCTCCGGTGCAGTGGGGCAGACAGTACTTGCCGTTCCTGCTGAGCTCATTGCCTGCGTTGCAGGAACACTGGCCCCTGTTGGTGCACACGCCGTTGAGGCAGCCGATGGGGCAGGTGGGAATGCAGCTACCCTCCTCGAGAATGTAACCCCTTTTGCATTCGCACACCCCGGGGGATGTGCAGTTTCCTACAACGGAAAAATCACAATTGAAATATTTTTTTTTCTGGAGGTTATATGCTTCGGGAACACCTCCCTTGGCAATGTGTTCCAGAGCCTCGCTGTTCGTTGGATGAACAAGTCTCTGGAAAGAGATGTTTTGCAGGTCTCCAAAGTGACTACGAAGGGGTGCAAAGCCTCAACTCGCCGGGTTAATCTCGCGGGGACTGCCAAGGGAGGAGCAATTATTGATATTTCAGAAGAGCATTGTCCATGGAAATATCTATAAAATAGAGCCAGATCGCCAACTTTTTTACGGTGTTCCAGAGAAGTGAGTGAGTTTGTGAGCGAGGCATCACCCACGAGACGAATAATTTCCCTTTCTTGGACAGAATCCAACAGTTTCAGGGTATGTTTAGGAGCTACACTCCAAATATGGAGACAGTATTCCAGGACAGGTCGGATCTGTGCCTTATAGATCATAAGCAGCTGACTGGAAGTGAAATAGCTCCTGGCCCGAAATAGAAAACCAAGTTTTTGGGATGCAGTTTTAGCAATTGATCTCACGTGATTTTTTCAAGAAAGGTTATTGCTGATAGTAATACCAAGCATCGAAATCGAAGTCTTCAAAGGTATGGTTACTCCTGACAAGCTTTTGTTGGGCACAGTGAGATCGACTTGTCTAGAGAAAAGGCATGTTTGCCTTGAAATCTACCAGAAGAATGAACAAAACAAAGATTAGACAAGTGGGAGAATCTTCAAGGTCTCACTGGCTGACTGAGATACTACTGTGTACATATTATATAATCACGAGATATCGAACGCAAATGTCAGCCTAGGCAAAAATAAAATCTGAATACTAACAAAAGCTCTAAGAGGGCCTCGCTGGTTGAAGGGACATCTTAAGAAGCTTGGCTTACAAGGGGAAAATGAATGCAGGTTCTGAGAAGAAGAGAAAGAAAGGTTATTGCTGATAGTAATACCAAGCATCGAAATGGATGTCTTCAAAGGTATGGTTACTCCTGACAAGCTTATGTTGGGCACAGTGAGATCGACTTTCCTAGAGAAAAGGCCTGCTTGTGTTTTGTTTGCATTGAAATCTACCAAGTTATTGGATCCCCATTCGAGTTATTGAATAACTTAGAGATATTATCTCAGGATTTCCAATTCATTCGACTGTAAACAAACAAATTAGCGTTTCTTATAAGCCATTTATATGCATGATCTGAATTATCGATACACTCAATATGAATCATATTGAACAACAAAACAACAATGTTTCATCGCTATAGGTGTTACTCACCATTTTCACATCCATCACAGACTGGTACACATTGTAGATGAGTATGTGGCAACCTTTCGTATCCAGAACAACATATATCTATTTTGCTGTAACCATTTCTTGACTAGAACGGAAATGTTGATATCAGGACCCCCGCAAAATTTGAGTAGATAACTCTCAAGCAGTAAAATAGTGTTGACCAAATTGAATTGAATGAAATGCAATTATAGAAAAGTCATTATTTTTACTAGACTACTCGCTAGTTTCAGAAACGATATAGCTCTATATTCTCATTAATTATTGAAACTTAATTGATATTTTCTCCAAATGACATCAAAAGTGGATTTTTAATGACACTCAACAGGCAGAAAAAGTGTACTTTTACTGCCTAGGCAGAAAAAGTTTGTTGCTATGCAACGTTCCAAGTAATTTGAATCAAATTGGTAATCAAAATTGACAATGACTTTGGGTGAACAGAAAATGATGGATGATTTGGACTTTGCGTGAAATTGAGAAGAATTTGGGGAAAAAATCATATGTTTCACATGACAGAAAAGAAGATGGAATGCCTTGGCTGGTTCCCTAGCCTTGGCTACGCCTAGGCTATGACACGCCAGCCGAGGCATTAAATCTTGTACTTTTCGGCCTCGTAAAACAAATAACTATTTTCTGACCCGTTCCAATATGTTTTTCACTTTCATAGAAAGGCCATTGGCAACTTAATTTATGTTTAATAATATACAGAATTGTTCAAATTATCAAACTATATCAGTATTTTTGGCTATTACATCATTTCTCATGAGCCTTTTTTTCTAAAACTTGAAGTTCTAACAGAAAATATGATTCACTTGAGTTTTATATGTTTTTTTTTATTTTTATTATTTTTTTTATCGCTTGGAGCGCACGAAAGGGAATCCCTATAATGATAGTGCTGCTTGTTTTCTGATTTGAACAATCATCATATCTATGATGAGGAGGACACATGATTTAGACAGTCATTTGCTTGAGTATTTTTGAAGGGTATTCTTACCCCATTGCCATGTGGGACACCATTACGTCTATCTTCTGGGGTTAGCAGGTCGATGGTCCTGAAAACATGAATATAATTATTTGTTGGGCCGACACTTAATCAATGACACACCGACAAATGGTCAAATATGGAGGCATACAACAAATTAGTTGCTATGGCAACAGCATTAAAATTTGTTTTTTTAAAGACAATGTGATCCTACCAGAGTACAACCCAATCAATTTTGAGTACTCTGATCCTTTTATAAATTTAATTTGTGGGATAAGCGTAAGGTATCAGCAAAAAAGCTGGAATTCGGAAAATTTTAGAGATAAATCAATGAATAAAAAAACAAAATGCTCGCAAAAGAAGCCTCTTTCGTATAGGGAGTAAGCACTTTCTATGCCATTACTTAATTAAAACACAGAATGAATCATGGTTCGAGTTATTCCACCACCATCAGGGAGGCTTTGAAAACATTTTCAGTTCTTAATTTTTTTTCAAGACTAATGCATTACCTACCAACAAATATATAAAAAAAATCGGCCTACTATTTTTTTTTTAAGAAGATAGGTCAAATATCAAGTGCGTCACTTTTTTTGGAACTGATGAGTGTATTTCAGTTCAATTTTCAACGCATTTTCATCAAGATCTCGACTTTCAGCGACAGTGATATAGGGCATTTCCACCAGTTTGCAATAACACTTCGTTTCGAACTGTGAACACAGCAGAAAAGCACTGAAATACAATAGCAGTTAGCAGTTGTAGGAAAAAATTGCCATTAATTGTTCAACACACATTTTGAGCGATTGAAACGTTGAAAAAAAAAGAATTTTAAAATTACATTCCGATTTTATGCAACCTTCAAACTTTTGATAAACTGAAATTTGTCTAGTATGCTGGATTCCTCTTTCCACCAGCTTTCCAATGAAGGGTCAAAAGCCATAGAGTTACATTTGAAAAAAATTCGAGGGTGGGGTTCAGCTGAGGTATATAGTCTCAATGTTGCTTGCAAAAAGGGGGTAAATACATTAAATCGTTGACGAATGTCGGGAATTTTCAGAGATAATATTCACCTCCCCACTAACGAATTCAAAGTCGCCACACTGAATACTGGTCATATATATTCAAAATGTGTTTTTTCATATTTCATAATCAAAACAGATGAAAAGCTAAAAATACTGAGTATTGACCAGTTGACCAAATAGTTGCCTTGAGAGTTTTTGGTGATGAAGTCATATGTTTTCTCAGATTGGACCATGTTTATCATTGATTATTAAAATCATTAACTACTTTACTTATCAACTTTACAATTCCAAGGAAATTTCACAATAAGAGTAAATGTCCTTATAATATAAAAGAAATGAATTATTAGCATCCAGAAAATCCCATATAGAACTACCTATTTGTTCGTCCAGATGATATTTATTTTTGTACAATGACGTGATAATAATTGTATTGTTTGTATTATTCTTATGCTAATTTTGTCAGCAATGACCGCTTATAAACAAGGTTATACTTGAACATGGTTTAATTACCATTGACATTACATTACCTTAATTGTTCCAAGTATGACCGGTCTTAGTCATAGGTATATTAATGTTCAATAAACAATAAACTATACTCACGGTACTTCCAACGTGCAAACACCCCTTTTGGTGTGATTGGCCACCCCCCTCTGAACACCCTGTAGCTGAGCAGTGTCCACGAAAATCATTGCTATTGAAAACACGCAAATTGCTCCCACTAGGGCTCTATGTTGCCACATTTTTAAATAGTTCTATTATCACCAACAACGGAAAACGATCGTCGACTGTTAATCAACTATCAGCACAGCCTACTGCTCAATATGTACCATGTAGGAGTTTTAGAAAATGCGTTTTGGAAGAGATTAACGTTTCTTGTGATTGTGGGATTGGTGGGGGTCAGGGATAGCTGCAAAATTGTTATTCCACCATAAGATTTGATTTTTATGGCTTTGAACTGTGGAGGTCAAGACATCAGAGGCGTCATTTCAGTGAATACCATGGGGGTCAAGAAATTGGAATGAAATTAGTGAAATGTGAACATTTTGTTGGGATTCAAGGTCATATGCTTCAAAATGGGAAATCAAATTTCTTTCAGACTGACAACTAAATCGCATTATTATATCACGACATATAATATGTTCTCAACTTGTAGGTTACCAGAGCAGGTGGATATAATGATAATGTTCCCTAAATTTTTTGGGAGCAAGGGATACTGACTCATTTTTCCAATTCACTTCAATTTATTCATCGTATCCGAATCAACAATAACTTCAACCATAACAAGAAATAAGTTAATCATCATTTGTAATTTTTACATTTTAGGAAAATTGTCTTCCTCATTCAGTTACCTATTCGGAATAGTAATGTTCCAACAATTTTCAAATTATATACAGGGTGATTCAGGTTTTGAGGCACAAACTGAAATGGAAGATAGATCTCATCATTTCAATCAAAAAAGTTTATATAAACATTAGTCCGATCTCGTTCAATAGCGGAACTACAGGGTGTCAAAGCTGAATTATTTTCTTCTATTAGTTGAAATATCTCGCTTACTTGTCAAGATATTATTATGAAATTCGGTGTGGTCAATACTTCTTAGAAGATGATCATTTCAAGCCATCTAAAGATTTTCAAAATCTACAGAATGATACGTTTATGGGGGTAGACGCTTCCTTATTCCCCACAAACTTTTCTGTTATACGCCTCTTTCATCTTTCAGTGATCAAGTTATGTGGATCGTTCAATTTGAAGGCTTTTTTTGCTCTTCAAGTTTTTCCGAGAAACGAACCGTTTTTGAGATAAATGAGCATATACGTTCTAAAACATGTTAATTTTGCCTGTTTCACTTAAATTTTATTCAACTGAAGAAAAAAACTTGACTTTTTACCATCTGTATCCCCAATACTGATCCAGATTGGACTCGTGATTGCAATTTTAGTGAGTACATTTCAATGCATTTTCAACGAAAATAAAATGTTAGCGAAACATAGGCAAAATTAACAAGTATTGTTTTAAGAACTTATATGCTTATTTATCTCAAAACCAGTTTGTTTTTCGAAAAAAAGGGAAAAGCGAAAAGCTTGTGAATTAAACGAACCACACAATTTGATAACTGAAAGATGCCAGAGGCGTACTACGAAAAAGTTTGGGGGGAATAAAGAAGCCTCTACTCCCAAAAACGTATCTCCCTGTAGATTTTAAAAATATTTGGATGGCTTCAAATGATGATCTTCTGGAAAGTATTGACCACACCAAGCGAGATATTTCAATTAATAGAAAAAAATAATTAAACTTTGACCTCCTGTAGCTCCGCTAATAAACGAGATCGGACTTATGTTTATATGTAAACTTTTTTGATCAAAATGATGAGATGTATCTCCCATTTCAGTTTGTGCCTCAAAACCTGAATCACCCTGTATATATATTTTTAATTTAAGTACTGATAAAATACCTGGTCCCTCTCCCAAATGACGCCTATGCAAGACATTGAAATTCTCACTGGGAATGACCAAGATCAATCCGTATGGGTATCATCCTCGGTATTATCCCGATAGCTTTTCGATTGGTAATAGCAAATTCAATGGGCGTGTACACCTTAGTAGAACTTTTAACTCAAACCATGTTTAGAATGATACTTTTATACATAAATAATGATTGACGACATAATTCGATCGAAAAATTAACTGGAATGTTTTATTTTTGGACATAAATAATAGTACCTTATGAAAACGGACCCTCTTATGACGTAGAAACCTCATCTCCATAGTTAAAAGAAAATACCAAACACCCGACGCAGACTGAGGCAACTAATATTTTAATTCTTTCATCTGTGATTGTGATCTCGCGCTAATTCACTCTGTCAGAAATCATGTATCATTCATCTCTGTCTGGAAAAGTCTTGTTTCAGTATTAGGGTTTTGACGTCATATCATCGCCTCGTTTTCAGAGGTCCGAAAAATCGGGGATTTCAATAATTTTTTATAAAACGTAGGGAGCTCACAGCAAGACACGGTTTGCGATGGTGAGCAGTTTGGGTGAGTTCTATCGAATTATGAAATACAATTTTTTGTGATATAAGCCCATTGGATTAGGACTTTCCATATTGGCCCGCACGCATAACAACAATAAACACATGTAAAAAAGGAATATACAATTTTAATAATGAATACATCACATAATCATTGTTGCAGATAATTTTGCTTCAGTGTATATACAAAAATGGATTTTCGATAATAATCTCATCATAGACTGGTTCCGAACGAGAAGTGGCAGGGATTTTGGTGACATCTGTTGGCGAACTTGCTCTATGACTTGAAGAACGTGGATGATCGTAGATAAACTCCCGACAGTCTGGAAAAAAATAACGAAGCTTGAACTAGAAAAAAAGTTGTGGTATACCAGACATTGTTATATCAGGTGGAAATTTCTACAAGCTGCATATTGTAGGTAGGTACTCATCACAATTTTGTTTTCATTTGTTCGGTTTATATATCAGGCATATTGAGTTCAGTTTTTCTAGACGAAATGATGGAGAATACAGACTTGGATGAAGTCAACGTCATCCAGGTTTTTGGTTTCCCAAGCTGAAGTTTTAGAAGTATCATATTCATTGAAAGAGTTGACCTGATGTCTTCGTCATGAGTTGCTATACAAGGTGTTTTTGAAATAAGTGCACATATTCAGCACATTTATATGATACAGTCTAAGGAATATCGCCAAGGTATCAGATTTTTTCTAATTCTTCTTATTCGAGAAATTTCATCCCAAAAATTTAACAAAATATCAAAAAATCAAGCACGCCACTTTAAAACAATTTAAATGATTGAACTCCGCGTGATTGTGCCACAGTTGAGAGAATATTATATTCTCTCAACTGTGGATTGTGCCACAGTTGAGAGAATATTATATTCTCTCAACTGTGATTGTGCCTACTGCAAGGAAATTTGAACAGAGGTGGCGTCAGATTTGCTACAGTGTAGAACTATGGGTGGAAAAATTGGTCCAGCCTCAAATTTGATTTCAATCCGTAATTTTTTTTTATTAGTGCCATTCGATAGTACACGTTGAGCTTTCTCAGTGTTTGAAATATTTGCACTTATTTCAATGCCAACCTGTATAGGTTCCTGCGATGAATTGTGAATATAGAGAGGTTAGGCAAATACTTGGGTGGCCAGGTAGCCGTGCGGACAGAGTGTCCATATTCTAATCCGCATTCGCTTGCCGGTCGTGGGTTCGAGTCCCGTCGACTGCAGAAATTTTTCTGATGGCCCAAGAAAGTGTTTGGGATCACACGTTAAAAGGTAAGGCCCCCGTCATTCCTTGCTCGCACAAGACTTTCGAAGACTTCTGAGGGTTTGCTCGTAAGGGGGCAACCGAATGACGGATAGAACAATTTTAGAACAATTTACTGTGGGTTATGTTAGGTTACAAGTGACTGGGTCTATTCATAGAATTAGAGCTGACTGCAGATTTCTACCGTCATCTGATAACGAAATGATATCATTGTATGTCCCAAAGGAGAGTAAAAACATTGCAGTTCACCGAACTATGGAAAGAGATGTTCTGCAGGTCTCCAAAGTGACCACGAAGGGGTGCGAAGCCTCAACTCGATGGGGTAATTTCGCGGGGTTTGCCAAGGGAGGAACAATTGTTGATATTTCAGAAGAGCATCGTCCATGAAAATATCTGTAAAATAGAGCCATATCGCCAACTTTTCTACGGTGTTCCAGAGAAGTGAGTGGGTTTGTGAGCGAGACATCACACACGAGACGAATTGCCCTTTTTTGGACAGAATTCAACAGTTTCAGGGTATGTTTGAGTGCTGCACTACAAATATGGGAACAGTATTCCAGGACAGGTCGGATCTCTGCCTTATAGATCATAAGCAGCTGACTGGAAGTGAAATAGCTCCTGGCCCGAAACAGAAAACCAAGTTTTTGGGATGCACTTTCAGCAATTGATTACAATTAAGTATAGTTTTGATAGAGTATGATTTTCAACTCGGCTCTCATATTTTCGCATTGTAACACCCTGCTGAGTTTCTTTTTAATGAATATATCATGAATTACCGTCAACTCACCACTTGCTGGTCTATCTGATGGTTTTTGTTCCATATTGCAGATTATACGTGTTTCAAACGTTGGCGCTCCTATCGTTTTTGCAGTTCTATATTCACACGAAGTTAGATACTTCGTATTCTCAGTCTCATGTGTAGGAGGATCTATAAAGATTGAAAAAAATTGGTCAGATGTAATATGTATATTGACGTTCTACGTTCTGCTATATACAGCAAATTTCTTGGAGAAGGGTACCATGTTACTTATGACATATTTTGATATCAAAAGAATTCTATAAGAACACTACGTCTTCTAATAGGTGATTGTAAATAATCCTACGAACATGTACAGGGTCATTTTGTTTATGTTTCACTCAATAGCTATATCGCAGTTACTATTGGTCTCACAAAATATGGTGTACCTTTTTTCATAGGCATTCAGAAATTGATCAGAATTCAGTTCTAGGAAATGCAAAAAACCATCTCAAACCCAAACATTTTACATAAACTGGTATTTTTTAAATGGAACACCATGTATTTTATTCTCCTAATCGGTAGAGCTATTTCTTCTGATTTCAAATATATAAATTTCATTGCGACGGTCAAAAATCTTAATTCTGAACCACCCTGTATTTATTTCAATTAAATATCGATTGATAGTACATGGAAAGTTAGGATAGGGACATGAAAACCGTCTTGATCTATTATGAATAGTTTCGACACAAAATTTCGATTTATCGCACCCTATATATCTTTGTTATCATTCCCGCTAGACCCCAAGTATGATAGATCGATGGAATCAGCTCTCCAGGAAGAATCTATATACAGGGTGTTCCATTGAAAAAATCTACGTTGTTGCCACTTCTAAAATATAAGCGGCAACGTCGCAACGCTGAGAATATTTTAGGTCGATAGAACACAACTAATTATCCAAGGCACCAACTTTTCAGAATAATCCTGAGTTGCCTTCTCCAGAAACGTCTAATGTGTTATCCACCGTGAATCACCCCGTATATACAGGGTGTTTCATAATTCAATGCTGATCCTAAAGGGCGATGATCCTTGGATGATTTTAAGGAGAGAAGTTCATATCAACATATGTCCTGAACCTCTCAATTTTTGAGCTACAGGGTGTTGAAATCAGAAGCGTACAGCGTTTTTTTAAACAGAACATTCAATATCAGGTCTACGAGGACATCACTGGTAAAAGTAAAAGTTTGATTTTCGTCCCAAAACAAAATGTGTCTCCACTTATAGTGGGTGTCTACTGAATTACCAAAAACAATATCCAAGAACTGAAGGAACAAAATTCTTTGGTTTTTATTTTTTTTACGCGAAAACGGTACGTTGTATGAAAGTAAGTCTAGGAACCAAATTCGCTCCAAAATGAATAAGAATTGAAAAAAAAAATCTGGTTCTCAGAAAAATCAGTGGCGTACTATTTTTTATTAAAAAATTGTTAGTTCAAACCCCGTACCGACGCCACTGGTGAGAATTTTTGATTATTTTTCACGTAAAAAAATGCTCCTTAATAATGAAAAGGTGTATACAAAATATCATAACAATATCTAAGAGTGATAAAAAATTATGATGAAAAACTAATTTTTTTCTTGAAATTTCATCACCCTGTAGCTCAATAACTAAGAGGTTCAGGACATATGTTGATATGAACTTTTCTCTTTGAAATCATCCAAGGATTATCGCCCTTAAGGATCAGCATTCAATTATGAAACACCCTGTATAAAGAAATACATTGAGAATTAAGATTCTGTATGTGATGAAAATATCAATTCTTTCTCGATTTATTCGGAAGAAAACAACTACTTTCCTGGCTATATATGCCACGACGAACAATGAATCAATGAATGAATGAACAATCAAGGGGTTCAAACTTGAACGATGGAAACTTATTTTTATAGACTTCAATCGCAGATTCGTGATTAGGTTTTCTCAATTCAGAATTCCTTTTCACGTCGTGTATGATGAATATCAATTTATCATACATTAAAAAAAATTAAAAAAAGATTGACCCCGACGTGATTTGAACACGCAACCTTCTGATCTGGAGTCAGACGCGCTACCGTTGCGCCACGGAGTCGTTGAGAGAAGCGCCTAGAAAATTGGATTTCAATGAAAAGGTATTACTAAACTACTATCTGACTATATCAACAACTGTATGTCGGTGCGAATGAGTACTAGTACTACAGAGAAGTACCGATAGGTGTCCGTAGGTAAGATACCATCATATCAACTAAAGATTTCTATGAATGTGATTGATTACAGGAGTCTTCGTATTTCAAAAGCTTGCGCTGTTGATATTTGTTGATAGGTGGAGTTGGTAGAACTGATGATAATCATTATGTGTCATTATTATTATTTTGAAATAGTTCTTCACTTCTCATCGTCCTCCATAATTTGACTTTCCATGTTTGGTGTTGGGACCCCTAAAAAACCCTCTTTTTCTTCAATAATTTCAAGAAAAATGTAACATAACCTTCTTATTTCCATGACTTCTTAGCAAAGGCTGAAGTTGGACATTGCATATGTCCGCAAACATGTTCCTAATTTGACTCGTGGAAATGCCTTTGTGCTTTTCTCATTGGATATGAACTCTAATATCTCTCTGATAACTTGATTATAATTGGTGACTTGACAACCTTGCTTCATGAGTGGTAATGGAGGATATTATCTGACCAATAACAAAACGGCATGAAAATTGACGTCACCATTTATTCAACTCACCTTTAAGGGGCTGTAACTTCCTTATGAAACATTTTTCGACCCAAGTTTATGGAAACTTTTTTTTTCACATTTTTGATCGAAGCATCTGCTGTTGAAGTATGGCAGGCTAATTCAGGGTATATGATTTTTGAAAATTGGCAACGTTATGCATGAGATGTAGGTGTAACAATATTTTAAAATCGATTCCACTCGAAAATGATACATGCATCTGATCGATACGGAACAAGAGCAACTTTTTTCTGTAAAACGGTGTTGATTTTTATAATCCGAGATTGAATTGTCGAAAAATATGCATGGAGAAAAGTTTCAGCAATATTTCATGTAGTCCTACCCTGTATTGAAAGTCTCCAAAGTGATCACGAAGGGGTGCGAAGCCTCAACTCGACAGGTTAATCTCGCAGGGACTGCCAAAAGAGGAACAATTGTTGATATTTCAGAAGAGCATCGTCCATGAAAATATCTATAAAATAGGGCCAGATCGCCAACTTTTCTACAGTGTGCCAGAGAAGTTAGTGAGTTTGTGAGCAAGGCATCACCCACGAGACGAATTAACCTTTTTTGGACAGAATCCAACAGTTTCAGGGTATGTTTGGGTGCTGCACTCCAAATATAGGAACACTATTCCAGGACAGGTCGGATCTGTGCCTTATAGATCATAAGCAGCTGACTGGAAGTGAAAAAGCTTCTGGTCCGAAACAGAAAACCAAGTTTTTGGGATGCACTTTCAGCAAGTGATCTCACGTGATCGGAATGGATGTCTTCAAAGGTATGGTTACTCCTGACAAGCTTATGGTGGGCACAGTGAGATCGGTTTTTCTAGAGAAAAGGCATGCTTGTGTTTTGTTTGCATTGAAATCTACCAAGTTATTGGATCCCCACTCGAGAATTGTTGCCATCAAGTCCATATTTATGTTGTCAACATTTCTCCCTCGTTCGTTTCTGATTTGCCTGGCTGGTATTGGAACTCTGGAAGAGAAGGCGGTATGGAGGGTACTATCATCCGCGAAGCTGTGTACTGGACATAAAATTGCTTCCAACAAATCGTTGATATGGCAGACCAATTTCGGGACACCCTGTAAACGTCTAATAAATCCTTACCTGGCAGGGGATCATCCAAAATACTTCTCATTCTGACCGCTGGAGCCTTATTTCCCTTGTTCCGCATCAACTTCCTATCGCCCATCCTTGAAACATAGTAGATCCCTAGTATCAAGGCTACCAAAACCAATAAAGCGAAAATTGGAATCACCAATTTCAAATAAGTGTTCAACAAGCTTCGATTGGCGTTGTAGTGGTAGGGTGTCTCAACACGAAACACAAAAGTGAAGGTTTCTTGAGTGGTTTGATCCGTAGTGGTCTTCAAGGAAGAATCATGCTGCACTTGATCTTCAAACATGATTTCCACGGGTATGTCATATCCTTCTTCGAATTTGCTATGGATCTCTTCCACTTCTTCTGATAGATGTCTGTCCAAAATTCTCTCAGGTTCTTGCAATTTTTCTCTGATTGGTTCCATATTTGGACCACTACTAGAATCAGTACTTGTTTCTCTGAATGGTTCTGAAGATGTTTCAACAAATTCTTCAGTTTCTTCAGCTACCCCAGCTGTTCCAGAATGTGAAGGAATGGTTTCCTGTGGAATGGTTTCATGTACAGTGTGTCCCGTTTTCGATGCTCCTGCGTGATATCTCAGTTATCTTTTGATGGAGATAGGAGTTATGTGAAAAACATAAGTACGGAAGGATAATTCTTAGTACCCGTTGTCCTATTAGATGTTTTCCCATAGGAATGAAGCATTTCTTCGCGGTGGAAAGTAGCATATTTCATCATCATCATAATGTTGGCTTCTAATGTTGAGAGAATTTCTTGAAGCGGTCGAGTAGTTTCGGAACCTTAGTAATACCAACAAACAAATCTTTCCTCTTCATAATATTAGTATATAGATATAATTCCTTAATTTTTCCCTTCAACATGATATACAGGGTATGTCCTGACGAGCTTACACTACCTCTATATCAAGAATGAGTCGGGAGAAATACATGTAAATATGCATGCTTTCATTTTATAATACACTCGATTCATTTGAAATAATTTCAGCGATGCAGTGTTGCCGCTTCTATTGAAAAGTAGCAACAACTTTGTTATTTCAAATAGAATGATCAGAATTCTGAATCTTGAACAACCCTGTATCTTTTCCGATTAAATATCGGTGAATAGTGAATCAGAAATTGAGATAGGGACATGTGAGCCGTTTTGACAGATACTGAATAGTTTTGACACAAAAAAATTCCTTAAGTTGAAAAATCTCGATTTTGAACACCCTATATCTCTGTAATCTTCTTCGATAGACCCCAAGAGTAATGCATCGATAAAATCAGCTTTTCAGATAGAATGAAAAAAATGCGATGAAATACTGGGTGATCCATTTGAAATTGAAATATCGATGTTGCTACTACTTTCTTGTAGAAGAAACAATACTGCATAGCCAAAAATATTTTAAACGAAGAGAACGTATACCCTGTATGTATAATGAATTTATATACAATTCTCAAAAATGCTCCAGAATCACTAAAACAGGAAAAATGGACATCAATAATACGATAAACCGATATGGCTGTTTCCATCCTTCACTTTCCGTCCTTATAGCGTTGATTGATATATTACTTATAGATTCAAAAAGCCCCTCTCATTTTGGTCCCATTTTTGTTGAGATATCGTATGGGCGATGCGTCATATATAGAAATAGTACATATATGTATACTACCTAGTTGAAAGGTTGGCAAAATGTAGAGTAGATTTTTGGTAAACAAACTTTCGAAACATTCAAGTCTACCTTTCGGAGATAAACAGAAAAATTCAAATATCTCAAAAACAATTGACTCTTGCATAATGCATATTAGGGTTCAATTCACTTCATACCACTTCCCCTATCACATCTCCAAAGGAATGTACCGAATTACAAGTAACCCTGTAAATCATTCTGAAGGTGAAGAAATTAATGAGGAAATAAATTACAGGTTGTTTATAAGTTTGAGGCGTTTTTCCAAGACCATAAGCCGAAAAACAATTTGAGAGAGCCACTGAATTCTGCGTGAAATTCTTTATGAAATACGATTTTAATCTGGTATTGTTTGCTGACAAACTTCGTAGATATAGAGAGGGTCCAAAAATTATACATATTCAAAATCGCCCTGTTTCTCATAAACGGAAACGGATGAGATGTTCTGCAATCACATTTATTTGCTTGTTCACCTCCGGAGCCGTTTTGCAATGTCATTTAGAGCAAGACACAATTTACTTGGAGCGTTCTGTAATTTGACAGCCAGGAAAAAAATAAAATTGTTTTGCTCGCATTATTTATTCAGAGGAAGTAGATATATCTCAACTTTGACAGCTCTTTGTTGAATGACAGGTATTGATTATTGGAGTTTGAGCACTGGTTTCTGGTTCGGTTTGAATCATTGAATCTTATTGAATTAATTCGATTAGTATAAGCACAGTAGTTTCTCTCGCAGTTTGTATAAGCCAAATATGAAGGAAGCTAGTATAGTTTACACAGAAACAGGCGTGTCCATAATAGAAAATGAAAATTTTTTGATCCAAATCGGTAGGAAATCAAAATTTTTATTGTCATTGCAGTAGTATGTTACTCTAACTGATCAAATGAAGCGGCAGTTGGGCCTTCAAACAGAATTTACACTACAAACAACTTATGCTGCTGATGCAAGTAGTTCTACTGGAATGGAAAATAACTCAGAAGACACTAGCAAACTCTGGACACATGAAATAATAATGTTACTTATTAATCTCATGAAAAAATATGAATTATTAGTGTAGAATCATGAAGTTTCAGCAGAAGTATTTCAAAGGTCTCTGGAAGGAGACGAAAATGTTCTTTGAATTGTCTGTCATTGAAAGTATACACGGTCACTTCAGCAAAATTCTCTTTATTTTCTAGAACGGCTGCTTCTTCATCATCTTCATTGATTATATCAATCATAAAATTGATCACAATATTTATAGCAACACCAAAAACATTATTTACATCCACTTTCAAGTAAAGTTTTCAGTAGATGACATGATCGACATGATCGAAAATCAATTCATGTCGGAGCATGATGTCACCCACGACTCCTCTAGGAGTGTTCTTTTATTTTATTTATCTGTATGCTCCAGAGGTCACATGACTGAAAATCTTCTCGCTCTCACTCTGCTCTTAGATGGGATTACAGAACATCTCAAATAATGCAGAATCGGATCGAGCCATCTTGAGTTTCACAAAAAAGTTCAATCTCCAAAGATAACTGAGACGTCACGCAAAAGCATCGAAAACTGGACAGCCTGTACATTTGGTGTGACAGTGGTAATGCTGAGTATATCTTCAGATTCTGGAGCTGAATGATCGCTCTTCTTTCTGTCTTCTATGCAACCATTTAAGGAATCGCAAGTAAGGTTGCAGTCACATTTTTCTAAACAGCTTGGCCCCCATTCTCCAATATCGCATGCTGAAACATGGTTAATTGTAGCTGTTGAAGGGGAATGAAAGTCAAATATACAGGTTGTAATTTAATAATTGATGAATGAAAATGAAGGAAATTGTTTCTTAGCTCTTTTTTAGAGGAAAAGTTTATATGAACATATGCCCTAAACCTCTTAACTTTCGACCTATACGGTGTTGAAGTTTTAAGAAAAAAATCGTTTTCTTATCATAACTTTTTTCTGGTTCCCACGAAAACTTGTAATGTTCAGAAAACATCGTGAGAACCAAGGAAAATAAGGTAAGAATTGGTGTTATTCTTGAATTTTTGGAGGTTATATGCCTCGGGGAACACCTCCCTTGGCAATGTGTTTCAGAGCCTCGCTGTTCGTTGGATGAACGAGCCTTCGGAAAGAGATGTTCTGCAGGTCTCCAAAGTGACCACGAAGAAGTGCGAAGCCTCAACTCGACCGGTTGATCTCGCGGGGACTGCCAAGGGAGGAACAATTGTTGATATTTCTGAAGAGCATCGTCCATGAAAATATCTATAAAATAGGGCCAGATCGCCAACTTTTCTACGGTGTTCCAGTGGAGTGAATGAGTTTGTGAGCGAGGCATCACCCACGAGACGAATTGCCCTTTTTTGGACAGAATCCAACAGTTTCAGGGTATGTTTGGGTGCTGCACTCCAAATATGGAAACAGTATTCCAGGACAAGTCGGATCTGTGCCTTATAGATCATAAGCAGCTGACTGGAAGTGAAATAGTACCTGGCCCGAAACAGAAAACCAAGGTTTTAGGATGCACTTTTAGCAATTGATCTCACGTGATTTACTCAAGAAAGGTTATTGCTGATAGTAATACCAAGCATCGAAATGGATGTCTTTGAAGGTATGGTTACTCCTGACTAGCTTATGTTTGACACAGTGAGATCGGCTTTTCTAGAGAAAAGGCATGCTTGTGTTTTGTTTGCATTGAAATCTACCAAGTTATTGGATCCCCATTCGAGAATTGTTGCCAAGTCCATATTTATGTTTTCAACATTTCTCCCTCGTTCGTTTCTGATTTGCCTGGCTGGTATTGTAGCCCTGGAAGAGAAGGCGGTATGGAAGGTACTATCATTGGCGATGCTGTGTACTGGACATGAAGTTGCTTCCAACAAATCGTTGATATGGAGTAGAAATAGTGTTGGTGCTAGAATTGATCCTTGTGAAACACCGTTCTAGATATTGCCATGAAATTTGACATGCACCTACTAAGGTGCAGTTTTCGATGTATAAGATTTTTTAATATCTCTACCAGTGGCGTACGTAAGGGATGTATCCTGGAGATTTCTTGAAAAAATATTGTACGCTCTCAATGTTTCCAAGAAAAAAAATAATGTTTGAAATCCTCATTCTTCCTGCAACAATTTGATCTCCAGATTTTTTTCCGTGCGACAATTTTCATGCATTTGTGGCATAACGAAATTATTTTGAACTAGTAGGCTAATGCCCTATTTTGTATTTGAAATAATGACATTTGATCGATTACGTTGTGGTCTTATTTTGACAAGTATTCATAAACGTGACAGTTTTTCACATTGTGAAAATTTCTTCAATCAATAAAGAGAAAATAAAATGTTAACACCCTATAGTTGGAAAGTTAAGAAGTTTTGGGAATATGTTTATGTGAACTTTTTTAAATTACACCCTGTATAGTTACTACAGCTGATACACTGAAATAATTTGGAAGGGTATTAACATGAGCAATATAATGATTGTAGGAAGCATTTGCCAGAATATCATGTTTTAAATGGCAAGATTATCTGAAAATGTTTTCACCATACAGAATTTCTGATATTATACTAATTGTTTCATGATACTACGAACCTACTTTACATGTGGTTCCTTTGAAGCCAGATGAACAAATACATGCTCCATCTTCACAAACTCCGTTTTCGCATCTTAAACATTTACTGCTGATACATTTATCATCAATTTGAGTATATCCTGGACAACAGTTTTCATTCGTTCGTGTTTGATTCCTTTCCTGAAACATAGATTAATAATATTTTGTAATTCTTCATTTCAATCCTACTCATCTGCGATCGTTAGAAATAATATATATACAGGGTGTTCCATAATTGAATGCGATAATCCTTGGATGATTTCAAAGAGAAAAGTTTATATCAACATATGTCCTAAACCTCTTAGTTATTGAGCAACAGTGTGATGAAATTTCAAGAAAAAAATGAGTTTTTCATCATAATTTTTTTATCACTCATAGATATTGTTATGATATTTCGTATACACCTTCTCATTATTAAGGAGCATTTTTTTACGTGAAAGATATTTGAAAATTCTCACCAGTGGCGTCCGTACGGGGTTTGAACTGACAATTTTTGAAGAAAAAAATAGTACGCCACTGATTTTTCTGAGAACCAGATTATTTTTTCAATTCTTATTCATTTTGGAGCAAATTCGGTTCCTTGACTTACTTCCATACAACGTACCGTTTTCACGTAAAAAAATAAAAACCGAAGAATTTTGTTCCCTCAGTCCTTGGATATTGTTTTTGGTAATTCAGTAGACACCCACTATAAGTGGAAACACATTTTGTTTTGGGACGAAAATCAAACTTTTACTCCTCTTACCAGTGATGTCCTCGTAGACCTGATATTGAATGTTTTGTTTAAAAAAAAGCTGTACATACGCTTCTGATTTCAACACTCTGTAGCTCAAAAACTAAGAGGTTCAGGACATAAGTTGATATGAACTTCTCTCCTTAAAATCATCCAAGGATCATCGCCCTTTAGGATCAGCATTCAATTATGAAACACCCTGTATATAAGACCTCATGAACGAATGTCCTAGAAATCTTAACTTTTCAGATACAGGGTGATGAAGTTTTAAAAAATATTTAGTTTTTGTTTGAAAACTGAGACAAAATTCTATACATCTTCATGTTTGGTACACGTCTTTTATGCATCGAGGTGCATTTTCTGATGTACAAAAAATGGAATTTCCTCTTCGGGAATATTATTGTTTATATTTTACTTGAAAGTGAGCAACGACGGAGAATTTTCTAATTTCGTAAAATGCTATCAAAGGCTATTCAATCATATACAAATAATCTTCTTGTTAATACTCGATAGAACGCTTCGTTTTAGAGAAAAAACGGGACCAGACTTCAAATTTCGATGTCTGAGTACTCCATTCATGACATCCATTACTGAATAACCACAGTATGTCACATTTTGAAATTTTCATACCGATTCAGTCACATAGCAGACTGATTTTCGCCATCACGAAAATATACAGGGTGGACAAAGAATAATCTATGCATATTTTCAACATTGACACCCTGTCTCTCAAAATTTAGGACGTTTAAGAGATACGTTCATATGAAATTTAATTCTTGAAATGAGTCCAATGATCGGCCCCTTAAATATTAGCATATCATCAAGGAACACCCTGTATATTACTTAATGACCGCATAATCTTCATCTCAGTGAGTGATAGCTATTATGCGCTAGTAGAATATAATAATATATACCTACTATATTTAATATATCTACAAGTACTACTCAAATATCAAAGCAAATTCAAAACTCATTGAGAAATTTAACAAATGCAAATGTTAGATGTGAGAATGATAACAAATTACCAGATAATATAAAGAATTGCAGAAATACAATAAAATTCAAATACCAGTTTAAAAAATTTATCATTTCTGAACGAAATAGATGATTTTTTTTCTCAACTTTTGATTCATATTCAAATTGATTTTTGCTCACCAATATGAAATGATTTGTCAAAATTTAATACTTTATGTTTTCAAATATTATATTATTTATTAGTTTATCATAATTGTATAGTTTTAGGTATCATTGTTAACTATACTTCCTTATACCAGAACTTGTTTCTTACTGAAAGTAACATTTTCAATAAATAAATAAATAAATAAAATAAACAATGATGGATTTATCATCAATTTGAACAATTCAATGAATATGATACTGAATAATTTCGAAATTCAATTGTTTTTGCAGATATTTAATCAGGTGCTTATTCTACATAATGAACGATATATTACTATTTAGTTGTTGCTATCAGGTATCTTAGTTCTGTGTTTTGTTAGTTAATTAGTGTTGATATTGTTTTTATTCCCTTCATGGAAAAATTCGAAGAATTATTTCTTCAATTGGGACGTTTTTTGGAAAAATCCATAGCCCACTATTGAAATTCAATGTTTTAGTTATTTTTGGGCATTTTCGAAAATTTTATATTAATACATTATATATAATTTTGAATTGAAAGAAATAAGGAATTCGATGAGTTAAAAAAATACAGGGTGCGCCATTTAAAAAATGAAAAGTTTGAGTTGTATCTGCAAAACAATACACCGAAAAAAATTGTTGAGTAAGCCACTGGATTTTGCGTAAAATTCTCTATGGAACATGATTTTGATTTGGCGTTTTTGCTGAGGAACTCCAATTCTCAAAATCACCCTGTATCTCATTAACGAAAACAGTTATGCAAGATCTGATTAGGCCATGTTGAGTTTCACAAAACATCAAAAACTGGACACACTGTACATATAGTGGACAATAATTATTAGTTTCAGATGGAAATCGAGTTCGTTAAATCGTTGCTTTTAGAGTTGGCTTGTTACGTTATAGTAATATATTTGTACCAGATTGTATTTCCTGTTACAAAAACGTCAATTTGTTGTGATTTCAACACTCGGTATTGAATGGTGAATGTTGGTCGTGTTCTATATTCGACAATCGACTGCTATTAGGCATATACAGCCTTCGAACTTAACGAATGACTATGGCAATTTGCTGTTGATTTGCTGCTCTTCAACTGCATTTATCGAAACTGAAAGTAAACGAACTGCTAGAGTGCTAGTTATTCAAATCAGTGACATGGGAAGTGGAGATTCGTGCTCCATGCACTATACAAAGTTTCAGGTTTAAAGGTAACACACTAAATTTTTTTTTATGTTCTAGTTCCCACGAAAAGGGATATCCTGTAATGTTCAGAGAACATCGTGAGAACGAAGGGAAATAAGGTAGGAATTGGTGTTCTTCTTGAATTTCTGGAGGTTGTATGCCTCGGGGAACACCTCCCTTGGCAATGTGTTCCAGAGCCTCGCTGTTCGTTGGATGAACGAGTCTTTGGAAAGAGATGTTATGCAGGTCTCCAAAGTGACCGCGAAGGGATGCAAAGCCCCAACTCGAAGGGTTAGTCTCGCGGGGACTGCCAAGGGAGGAAAAATAAATTGTTGATATCTCAGAAGAGCATCGTCCACGAAAATATCTATAAAATAGAACCTGATCGCCAACTTTTCTACGGTGTTCTAGAGAAGTGAGTGAGTTTGTGAGCGAGGCATCACCCACGAGGCGAATTGCCCATTTTTGGACAGAATCCAACAGTTTCAGGGTATGTTTGGGTGCTGCACTCCAAATATGGGAACAGTATTCCAGGACAGGTCGGATCAGGTTATAGATCATAAGCAGCTGACTGGATGTGAAATAGATCCTGGCCCGAAACAGATATGGAAGATAGATCTCATCATTTTTATCAAAAAAGTTGATGTACACATTAGTCCGATTTCGTTCAGCAGCTACTATTGAAATGATATGCGTTGTGGTGGTTGTGACTCAAGGGGAGGGTAGTGGTATTTCATGAGACATTTCATTTTCCACTTTATATATTATATGAACAGTTATGAACCATTCGTGATATGTATCTCATTTTGTACATGAGTTACATCAATTCTAAGCTTTCAAATTGTCATCACCAGACATTGTATCAGAAGAAATCTTATGAATCCTCATGTTGATGATCAAGATCCATAGTGTGTCAAATAATTGCCCGATTCTAGTCGTTTGTTTTCAAGTTTTCAGTTATTCTGATATTTTCAATATTTGTCTATTCCCATGAATATTACCTTATTGATGGAATGCAATACCCTGTATGTGATATTATTATCTATTCGAATAAAGGGATTCAGGCCATTTTCTACTGAAGATTTATCACGACGAGCACATGATTCAAATCGATGCAAAATATTCTAAACAGACAAAATCAAATGATTGACACCCTGTAGCTCGAAAACTGGTAATAGGATCGATCTCTAAATTGGACTGTGTAATAAAGAAAGCTAATATCTGAAACATATCAAATTTTCAGAAAAATTTGCCGAAAGATATCGAAAAGGCACATTCTGGAAGATAAAGCAGTATGAACTGTAATATCTGAAATGCTCCGACCGTAGCAGAGGTTTAATCTCCTTTGCTTTCATGTTTGAATTTGTGCCACCCTGTAGACTGAACCACAACAGCCAATGAGCAAATCGCCAAATAGAGGAACATATAATTATCAATTTGAGCATCTACATGATAAACAAACGGCGGTGTAAATAATATACTCTCTAAACCCATTAATTCACAAGTTAACTTTTTCGATCCATGTAACAGATGTCTTTTTTTCTGTTGGTTACATAAATACGTGTTTTCGCGCCTCACAATGCTATGTGTACTAAATAGAATTTAATTCGGTCTAGTGCATTTGATGAATAATGGGTGGAAGCGATTTATACGTGAAAAGTTATCGTGAAAATATTACAAAAATAATTTTGCCGCTCCTACATGGAAGTACTGGCTGGTACTGTTATGTGACTGTTATACAACAACCAACTAGGCGAAAAGAAATAATGCAACATTCAAGGAACGAATTTTCCGATATACTGAGTGTAGCCAGCGTTTGGTTTTTAGTAGCGATCCTTCGTACTAAAATCTAGTACGCAATTGTGATAGATCGTACTAGATTCGACATGTGATGAAAAATATTGAAATATTGTAAATGAATCTTTATTTGGGTAGTTTTGAAACAATATACACACTCGATAACTACTATTACGAAAAATGGAACTAAATAAATAACGGAAAAGTGAAATACAACACAATAAATACTTCTGACAGATATAGAAGGTGAATTCTTATATACAGTGAGCATGTTAAGGTCGGACCATATTCCTCAAAAGCTTGATATGTAAATTGTGAAAAAAAGCTCAGACACTTCATTTGTCTTTTCAGATGCAAATTCGTTGGTCTACTAATATTCTTGATAACATCATCATTATAAATTACATTATGATGTATGAAATCGAAGAACGTACTAGATTATGGAGGTTTATCTGTTGTCGTACTTGCCCACTAAGCAAGGTGTAATAGTAATAGATTTAGTACAACTATAATAGCATCCCCAACGCTGAGTGTAGCAGATCATCAAAAATCCCGAAGCAAAAATTCAGGGCGATTTTGAGGAATAGAGAACGGTATTTTTGTGCACACTGTAGATAAACAAGTACTTACTACAATTCGTGTATCGTTTATGTTTCTAGTTGTGTAGAAGGAACATCGAGGTGGAACATTGTAACACCACTGGTAATTCCTTACCGTGACATTCCTCAAATAATATTCTGTGACATTTACCAAATATCTGGAAAAATAGGAGTATAATGGATACGCACTGAATCAACAAATTCGGTATCTGAATAACACCGAAAAGATTCAAGGGACGATTCCTTGTGATATTTTAGAAATGAAGTTCATATGAACATTTGTCCTAACTTGCTTCGTTTCCGAGAAACAGGATATTTTTTTTTATCGCTTGGAGCGCACGAAAGGGAATCCCTATAATGTTCTTTTTATTCATTACCCAATTGTCTTTCCATCAATTTCAATAAAACGTTGTGGTTTTGTTGATAGTGGAGCTTCTTCTGGTGCAATCAGATTCCAGTGGCGTCACAGTGGGTAAAATTGATATTCATGGTGAATGTCATTGTACACCACGAGTTTTTCTGAGTTTCATATATTCATTAGATTTAACTATTGAAATAACAACTTTTTTATTCCTTGTGTGATTTTTGTATCTAGCTTAGTTTTTGAGGAAACAATGAAAATTCGAGTTGACTCCAAATTTTAATGTAGGTGTTTTCAAGACTTCCATTGAGATTACTTAATAACCCCAATTTGAATCATATCCAAATTTTGGGGCTTTCTCAGTCTCCATCCATACTGAATTTTGGCATCATGAACGCTTATACATAAAAACAATTAATACTTCTAGTTTCAACATCCTGTATCTCAAAAACGGAGCAAGTTAGGACACATGTCTATATAAACTTTATTTTCTAGAATGTCACAAGGAAACACCCCGTGAATTTTTTCGGTGTTATTTAGATACACCCTGTATATGTGGAAATCGTTTCTCACAACTCACATTTTGAATCAATATCTCTAATAACTTGAACATATAAGGTCAATTTGGGTAACTGGGCCCTATGTCTGTACATTTCTTTTTCATTATTTTAAACTCCCCTCCTTTTTGGTGACTGTTAGTTGATCTCTGAAGAGTACAACACATGTGGTGGTGTTATAATATTACGAGAAACTGAAACGTGAGTTCCATTTACCCCGAGTCATTGAAGAACATATAATTTTCTCTAGTTTTAGGGCTAAGATGGTTCAAAATCATAAAAGAAAACCCAGCAGAGGCATCGTCCACCAATATTCTAATATTGGTGGACGATGGCAGAGGTGCCGATGCCGATACACTGCCGATGCACTGAATAGGGCTTATGAATATTTTATTCTTTGTAGTTTTGTTCTAGGTACAAAAAAAGAAACTAGGTAAAATTTGTCTGCAAAGTCCGAGGCAAAGTCCTTCGAGTTGACCAAGATGGTTTTGGAGTGTCCTGTCTCAGGTAAAAGAAACAGTTTTACATATTCCCAAATGTATCTGATTTTACAACCATTATAAAACTCGACCAGATAATAGGGAAACTCTCTAGGCCCTTAAAAAAAAGGGCAATTTTTTTTCCTGAATTAGCCAATGACGTGTTAATCAATTCAATTTCTGTTACTACTCTGATATAGTTCGATTCAAAATTATGTTATTCGGTTTTTATATCCATTCCTTGTGTTATGCTGGTTACATTTTGTATAATTACATATGTTTAGAGTTAGTGTTTGTTCGATAACCATATTGATTGAAAGTTTTAATGACTGCTTTACACTTTACTAACGCATCTCCCATAAATCCGTCACATTATAAGCAAAAAATTCCAAACATGGGACAATCATTGGACGCATGTTCAAAGAGCATCAAGTTGCCTTACTCTGGGTTCAACGTATCCTATACCTACCTAAATAGTTTCCAGTTGCCCCAGATCCTGTATATACAAAATACATCAATTTTGTTTACATCTTGTATTTTTCGTAATTATCAATAAAATCGTCGAAGGAATGAAATCCTCGTGTCACTGTGAAATTCCCTCTTGCTTACGATACTTATTGGCAATATTCTCGCCCCAATTCTGAATTAGATAGATATATAGATAGTTTATTTGACAATATCATATACATATGCATATTCATAGCAGGTCATTTGTGACAAAAGAATAAAATTTTGAAAACAATAAAATGAAAGTTTGAAAATAATAAAACATCACCATTACACAAGAAAAAACAAACAAAGGTTAATACATGATAAATATTTGTAAACTAATTCTAATGAACAATCGGTAAGTATGTTCTTAAAGGAAAAAAGTAGCACCTGGAATATTTTCAACGTATTCATCGATAGAATAAAAACTTTTATTTGACAGATACAATTTGATTGTTCGTTTGAACTCATCATTCATATTTAATATTTTAACTTGAAACAGAGAGCGTATTTATCTAGGGATTCTGATATTATCAGAATTCCTAGTGTTATGATGGTGGACATCAGCCTGTGTAATGAGATTAGACGATATTTTATGGATTTCAAGAAATTGTAGAATTGTAAATATATAAAGACGGAAGAGTCATAATTTTGAATTTGGTGAATGACGGTCTACAGGTATCTCTATATCCTACATTACCCAATATTCTCATCGCTTTTTTTTTGAAGAATAAAAATTACACTTGCAGCTGAAGAATTACCCCACAGTATAATTGCGTAGCCCATATGAGACTGGAAAAGTGAGTAATATACTGTGCTTAAAGTTTCAAAATTTGAAACATGTCTGAGCTGACGTAAAAGAAACAATGCACTTGACAATTTATGCTTCGAATGTTCTATATGGGAATTCCAACTCAATCCCTGATCCAAGGTGACACCGAGTAATTTTACCTCTCGTTTCTCTTCACCATGCTGACGAGTACGGAAGAAGAGCCACTGAGACTTGTCACTATCAAGTTTTAGATTGTGAGCTCTGAATCATGTCTCAACCTTTCCTTCAATTTCTTTAGACCGATCTAATAAGCTATGGTTGTCTGGACTCGAACATATAAATGACGTGTCGTCAGCAAAAAGGACACATTTAAAGGGGTTCATAAACCTGCTTAGCTCATTGACATGAATAATGAATAGAAGTGGCCCCAAGACAGAGCCTTGAGGCACACCATGATTCATTTCTTTAAAATGGGATGTTTCATTATCGAAATGAGCAGTCTGAAATCTATTTCTCAGATAAGATTCGAAAAGGGAAAGTGCAATTCTTCTGATGCCATAAAAATGTAATTTTTTCAGTAGAATATCATGAGCGACACAGTCGAAGACGTTTGACATGTCACACAACGTAATAGCTATATGATTTGCCTGGGCAGTTGCCCCTTGTGCCCTGTGGTTAATCCGGCCCTGTACATTCATATTCATTAATTCATTGAGAAGAATAACTTACATTTCTTCTGTTAAACAAATGTTATCACCACTTAGTTTCCCACTTGTGAAAATGAACTGCAACAGCAGTGCAAGTGAAGTAGGCATCCACAGGACATCCACTGTAACAAAAAAATGCACTCATCGTATTCATAATAATATACTAGCTATAGTCCAATCAAATGGTATTTTCACTTGGAAAAAATTCAAGTAATTGGTTTCTCTGTGGTTTCATATATTTTTGGAGGTGCTGAATTCGAGTCTGAATTTTGCAAACAAAATTTCCTGGAGCGTTCCGAGATATTCTCAAAAAACTGCAAAATTTTCGGACTTTTTTCGGTTTTTCGCCCGTAACCCGGAAATTATACGTTATATCGAAAAGCCCGCCATATAGAAAGTTGAAGCAGATAAAATTTGCTAAGTATAATTGTTATCGCTTATGAATGTAGGACTAACGAGTGCGGAGATAGAGCCAATTGAAAATTGACCAAATTTGCGTACTTTTCAAAAAATAGCGTTTTACGTCGGTTTTCGCAGGCAATTCCAAATCTACGCATTCCTCGAAGAAACGAACTATACTGCCTGATGCAGAAGAGTCCTAGCCATATGAATTCTCACCAACTAGGAAGAATATTGTTTTTCTGCGTTTTTCTTACCTGCCTCTTGTTTGATGAGACTCAGTACGTATTGTTGAAGAACTCTTTCCTTCTCGTTTACTTGGAGTTGCTCAACAGAAGTAGGATTTTCCACTTCATTCTCATTTTCTGAGCTCTGTGATAAGGTGGCATTTGCTTGTCTCACAGAAAGGTAAAATGTGAGCTCTGCACTTTTTTGCTAGGCGATCAGCTGCCTCCCTTGATGCCTTGGAACCCACATGAGCGAGAATTGATTCTAATACTTATTCATCACGAAACAGGAAACTTTGATAAGTTTGAATAGTTTATCAGTTTTTTATCAAGATGTTCAAAGAATACCCTATAGCATTTGGAATTATGGTATCGCAATTATAACAACTATGATTCCAGCGTACAGAATTTTATATTTTTTTGTCCCCCCACCCCACAGAATACAAAAACAAAACAATGACCTATTTATACGTTCCAGAGCTTTAATGAATATAGGTTCATATAATCCAAATCATCTGAGTTGAAAGGATGAACATGAGTGTGGCAACTATGACTATAAAAGACGTCTCCAAGTCCGAGCGCTCTAACAGCTGTTCTTCTTTTTTCATGATGACGAAATTTACATGAGCTCTATAGGAAATTTGATGCTCTTCCAATGCATGATGCGCTGTCTCTGAGTAATACGTAAAAAATGAATTATCTGCTAGAACCGACGAGAAACCTATTTTTTTAAAAGTACCCAAATTTGGTCAATTTTCAACTGGCTCTATCTCCGCACCATTTAGTCCTACATTCATGAGCAAGAACAATTTTATCTAGCAAATTTCATCTACTTCAACTTTTTTTTATTTGCAGAAATCAGATTCGAATGGGCGTGTACACCTTAGTAGAACTTTTAACTCAAACCATGTTTATAATGATCCTTTTATACATAAATAATGATTGACGACATAATTCGATCGAAACATTAACGGCAATGTTTCATTTTTGGACATATATCTTCTGAAAACGGACCCTCTTATGACGTAGTAACCTCATCTCGCCATAGTTAAAAGAAAATACCAAACGCCCGACGGAGACTGAGGCAACTGATATATTAATTCTTTCAACTGTGATCTCATGCTAATTCACTCTGTCAGAAGTCATGTATCATTCATCTCTTTTTGGAATAGTCTTGTTTCAGTATTAGGGTTTTGACGTCACATCATCGCCTCGTTTTCAGAGCTCCGAAAAATCGGGGATTTCAATAATTTTTTATAAAACGTAGGGAGCTCACAGCAAAAAACGGTTTGCGGTGGTGAGCTAGTTTGGGTGAGTTCTATCGAATTATGGAATAAAAATTTTTTGTGATATAAGCCCATTCAGCACCTCCAATAAGATATAAAACCACAGAGAAACCGACTACTTGACTTTTTTCTCGGATTGGGTCCTAATCATTACCGTTTTGTTGAGCTACTAGAGATAGTTGAATTATTATAGTTAATAAAACACTTGAATGAGTGAACAAGAATAAAGGAGGATGCAAGAAAGAATGTCATTTTTTTTTTCATTTCTCTTGTAATTTCTGATACTGGCAGACTAGGTAAATCCGACCCTGTATCCAAACCTCTACCCTCTCAATCTCCTTTCACCAGCTGGTGGTCTCATATTGGTCTCATTACTCTCATTATGTCTAACACAGAACACAGAATAACGCTGATTACAAAATGATATGCGAATGGCTTTATCACAGCTCAATTGAAGTCAATGTCATTCAACCTGATCCCACGAAATCACTGTTTACATGCGCAATATTGGCAAACAAGAAGGTTCACTACCCTCGATTGTAAAGACAATTACCTTTGCTATTCATGTTGAAGGGAGCGACATTCCAGATGGAAGGAAAAATTGAGGGTTTCCAGAGAATTATCCCGATTCTAGGGTCCGAATGAACAACAAAAACAACACCACACAGCTCAATGAATCCACAGTGGGCTAGATCGCGATTCAACTGTTATGACATGCGCTTGCATTGCTTGGATAGGGCCGTTCTCAAAGGGGTCATCTGTTTTTATTATTAAGATCTTTAATTATAATTGAGTGTGCTATTCAGTAATACATTCGGACATGGGTTTATAACTGCTGCTTTCCTCTTATGTACTGTTGGAGGACGTGGAATAATATAATTCTCAATATTTTTGATATTAGTATTATTTCAATATAACCTGTAGTATGAGTATCTAGGAACATAACAACCGAAGATGGAAAATCAATGAATCTGCTTGCCTTTTTTTGAACGGAGACAATATAGCATTGCTTCCTGTTCAGTTGATATACAGTTAACACACTAGATGGACCACTCATAATTTGACTCTGTTTCGAAGACCTGTATTTTTTTGAAAAAAAAACAAAACTTACACAGGGTGTAAAGTGGAACCATTACACTATGGTCTACATTTCCAATGCTGCCAGAACTCGAGAAATTTTTTTCTGATCAAAAGTCAGTCATATTATGATACACTGGGACCTCATCTCGGGATTTTTACGTGATTTCTCCTTAATTGGCCATTGGAACCAAAATTCGATTTTTCTTCGAACGTCTTGCATTTCTTAAATTTTTTCTCTAGAACTCCACTCGAGCTGACTATTGGGAAGAACTGTTCTCATGCTTTGTGGAGGACAATGTAAGACGAAAAAAGCACTTTTATGGAATATACAGGATGATAAGAAAATAGTTGAATTCAACGCCAACAAAACTCAAGCCTGTATTTTCTCTAGAAAGGCGGAACTCAGTATGCCTGGCACCACCATCCCCACCAAGCCCACCATATCTATGTTCGGTATTTCCATCAGCAACACTCTTTCATGGCATAATCATGTCAGATCCATCGCAAAAGCTGCTTCACAAAAACTCGGATTCTTGTTCCGTGCGAAAAGCTACTTTACACCTCAACAGCTTCTCATGATCTACATATCGCAGATACGGCCTGTTCTAGAATACTGTTCCCACATATGGGGTTTCTGCACCAAAATATACGCTGATGCTCTTAGATTCCATCCAGAGAAGAGCCATTTGCCTGGTGGGTGACACCACACTCACTCACTCTTTGACATCATTGGAACACCGTAGAAAGGTCGGCGACCTTTCACTCTTCTATCGATACTTCCAAGGGAAATGTTCTTCGGAAATCACTGCTATCATCCCTTCACTAGCAATACTAATCAGACGAACTAGACAAGCCCAGTCAGCACATCCTTTCGTTGTCAACCTCGAAAGATGTCGAACAGCACTTTATCAAAACTCCTTCATCCATAGAACGGCTAGGCTCTGGAATTCATTGCCTGAGGAAGTATTCCCAACAACATATATAATCTCCAGAAGTTCAAAAAAAAAATCCAATACCTACCTCCTATCCCTATCCTCCCTAGGAAAGCACGATGTTCTTTGAACATTATAGGGATTCCCTTTCGTGCGCTCCAATCGATGAATAGAAAAAAAAACTCATTTCAGTAAAAAACAATGAGAATGGTGACTTAAACCATGGCCCTTTCGATTCAGTATATTCAGAAACGACCATCTCAATATCCATCATTCATATTCCACTATTAACTCGAGAAGTTTTCGAAAATTCGCCTCTAATTGAAATACAGGATGAAAATTTTCAATTCAAACTTGTTTCCTGATATCGATGATTCTTATCAACTGATTTCCAATATTTATTGCCCAAGTATGAGACACAGAGTATTGTTGTTCAATATACTGAGTGTTTCATAACTTATCTGACAAATTACGAACTCTAGAAAACAATAATGATAGAAGAATATGGTGACCAGCATTATCTACAGATCTGAATTTGATTGAACATGTGTGGAGCCGAATGAAACTTAACCTATCGAGAAGGCGAGAGGCACCCCAAAATAATGACAACCTTATCCAAGTTTTATCAGAAGAATGGGAGGCAATATCAATAGACTTCATCAACAACCTCATAGAACCTATAGTATGTCAAACCGATTTCTTGAAGTTTGGTTAAAGTGGGGAGGCCCTACTAAGTACTGGAATTTAGGATATAGAACTTTCTAGTTGGATTTTCATACTGCTGAAGAATTCACTAATGTCATAAAATTATTATATGATCGACTTTTTATGTAGGTAATATTGTAGTTGTGGTTGAAATTTGTCAGATAAGTTGTGGAACACTCAGTATATTGAACAACAATACTCTGTGTCTCATACTTGGGCAATTAATATTTGGAATCAGTTGATAAGAATCATCGATATCAGGAAACAAGTTTGAATTGAAAATTTTCATACTGTGTATTTCAATTAGAGGCTAATTTTCGAAAACGTCTCGAGTTGATTGTCTAATATAAATAATGGATGGTTTGCATGACATAAATAATGGATATCGAGAAGGCCGTTTCTGAATATACTGAATCGAATGGGCCATGGTTTTTATCACCATTATTGATTTTTTTTACTAAAATGAGATTTTGTCCTATATTCTTATCATCCTGTATATTCCATAATAGTGCTTTCTTCGTCTTTCATTGTCCTCCACAAAATATGAGAGCCCCTGTTTCCAATAATTATCTCAAGTGGAGTTCTAGAGACAAATTTCAAGAAATGCAAGACTAGAAAAAAAATCGAATTTTTGTTCCAATGGCTAATTAATGAGAAATCACGAAAACCTCCTGAGATGAGGTCCCAGTGTATCATAATATGACTGACTTTTTATTAGAAAAAAATTTCTCGAGTTCTGGCAGCGTTGGCAAAGTAGACCATAATGTAATGGTTCCACTTCACACCCTGTGTAAGTTTTGTTCTGCGGACTTTTTCAGGGTGTTCTAGCTCTAGCTCTTTGGGAAGATTCTAAAAATCTAATTGAATACAAGGTGTTCCATTTGAAATAACAAAGTTGTTGCTTCTTTTCGTTTGAAGCGGCAACGCCGCAGGCTTGGAATATTTGCACCAATTTGAATGCTATATACCCTGTATATTCGAATTCTAAATGAAAATTATTGGTAATTTTCGATGCGCCCTGAAAATAACATCTGCTATTTCTGATACAATAAATATCTTCATCGCCCTGTATTTCACAGACGTTAATTTATAGTTTCACTCGACCGCAACTGTTATTTTTAACGCACATGACATAAAAAAAGAAGTTCAATAAAAACGAGTAGTGTATTATTTCTTGCCATACGTGTGTCGAATTGCTACAGAATAAGTGAAATTTCTTGAGGATATTTCCGGATGTCAGAATTGTGAAAGGAATGTGTAATATCTTGGTATTGAAATAGTCTCATTTAATTAGGCAATGGATCGAAATAACGGAATTTTGAAATTCATAAAATCATAGAAAATAGTGAATCTCATGCACAATAATAATTAGGTATCATGCATTATCATTAGATTGCGGAAACAAATACGTCAACAAAAAAATTATAAAAGATTCTTGGTTACGAGTTTCACACTGTTTTCCTCACCACGATCTGATTTGTAAGATCAAATCACCTTCAGGTACTAAATTTCGTGATTCTAGGATCAGACAGAACATGGTATTCACTACTGAAATCATAAAATGAAAATGTTAAATTCAAGATTAATTAATGAAAACATCCTGTAACTCATTTGATTGCCAATGTCACCAATTGTCACTGGGAACTGAGATTTTCTATTTTGAAAACGGGAGCAGATTCGGTCCCAAAACGTCCAAAGCTAAGTGAACATTTGATATTTTTTCTATATACCTTTATTTCTCTTCTCCAAACCTTTTCCAATACAAATTTTCACTGACAAGCTAGAGAATTTTTCTTTTAGCCTCTCTGATAGGAAAATTCTTTAAACGCAGTGACACTTCGACGGGTAATTCATCTGATCTGTCCTTACTACACGTATATTGAAATAATATTCATATTTTTATTTTATAGAAACGAGGAGAGAAAATCCCAAAAAATCTGGAATAATGAATGATATATTATTTTCATCTGAAGAATCACCTCCTGGAGTATACGATTTCTACGTTGTTCTAGGACACGCTGTACAAATGATAAAATATAAGTGGTCCAAGCACGGACCTTTGTGGTACATCACCATGTGAAAGTCTCTGCATTCTACATTGGAGTGAAAAAATTGAAGAATTGAAGTGGAATTATTTTAAATTATAAACTACTGTTTTTCTTTGATGATTATCAGATTATATTTTCACTGTCCATACTTATCAAAAAGGGGATATTCCAGTCCAACTTGAATCATCCGCCACGACTGGATTATAAATGACATCAATTGCTGCAAATTTGCTAATGATTGCATGGAGTGTTCTTATTTGTATATGACTGATACAATTTCCTGTTCAAGTCTATACAGTGTGTCCCTCCGGGAACTGCATCGATCAATATATACAAAACCATAGGTGGACCGTAATTGAAAAATTGGGAGATCACTATTGTCCATAAGTGCTATCGGGCTAAAATATTTTGAAGATTGTGGCACTTCCGGTTGTCCCGGAAGTGGACCCCAACTTCGTTATTTCAAATGGAACAGCCTGTATTTCATTGCATTCTCAAATTCTAACTGAAGAGCTAATTTCATCAATGTATCATACTAGATTATTACAGAGATATGGAGTGTTCAATATCGAGATTTTTCAATTTTAAGATTTTTTTGTGTCGAAACTATCCATTATCGTCAAAACGGCTTACATGTCCCTATCTTTACTTTCGATTCACTATCTACTGGAATTTAATTGGAAAAATTACAAGGTGCTTCAAGATTCAGAATTCTGATCACCCTGTTTCTGTTCCATTTGAATGTCAGTAGATAGTGAATCGAAAGTTGAAATAGGGACATGTGAGCCATTTTGATCGATAATTGATAGTTTCGACACAAAAAAATCTTTAAATTGAAAAATCTAGGTTTTGAACACCCGATATCTCCGTAATCATTCCTGATAGACTCCAAGTGTGATACATCGATGAAATCAGCTCTTCAGAGTA